TAGTATTATGATTAATATATATATATACATATGAATATGAGTCTTTATTGCGCAGAAGTACTATTCTTAGTTATAGTGTCCATCCTATATCTAATCCTGCTCATATAATACGGGGTGTGGGCATGCAAAGGTTTGATGGTCGTAAAGGCTATGGACCAACATCTTACATGAAAAACTAGAGACTATATAAGAAATGGTATGTTTACAAAAAACAGCGAAGATCCTCGTAGAAAAAACTGCCGCACTAATTTTTCCAATACCAGAATTCTAGATTTCAGAAAATTCCGAAAGTTCCAAAATTCAGAAAATTCCAAAGATGCCAAAAATTCCAGAAATTCCAAAAAACCCAAAAACCCCATAAAACTGCAGAGACGTTTCGGAATTTTGGAATTTCGCAATTCCAAAACTTACTTCTGCAGTTTTTGGAATTTTTGGAATAATTGTCGGGATTTCAATGTGTGTTTTGGAACTTCTGGACTTGATAAGATTCCATGTGAAAGGTTGGTTCAGTGGGTGGGGCTAGCATATACAGATGTATATATATATATATAAATAATCTATTCGCTTATTTATTTTATTATCGTGGTAATCATATAAACAGGAACATCATGGGATGTTATAATATTTGTTCCAATGCACTATCATAAGAGTGGAAAAATATAGGATGTTGTAATGTTTTCTAATCTACGACCAAAAAAAGGATAGCACAGGATATTCTAATGTGTTCTAGTATACCATAATAATAAGCATGGAAAGTCATAGGTCATTATAACGATCAAAAAACTGTCCGTCGGATCGCTTTCTACATAGAACTAACCAGAATAATAACATAACCCCTCTACAATAGCTCATGGATGCTCATGGTATAGGGTTTAGGGTGCCCCAAGACCCTTGTCTAATTACTACGGGCTCTATCTTCCTCACTCGGAATCTCTCTAGCTCTCAGCATCGACTGTCTGGGCCTTCATGAATAGAACAAGGTGTTGGTCTCCTCATAGAATAAGGAAGGGTTTGGGGTTTAGAGTTTAGGGAGCCGTACGGGATAATAATTGCACTTATTTGGGCCCTCTACCACTTCAGGTTTCGTCTTTCGGACCACGATCTGAGTCCCACTAGTAAGATACATGCCAGAAAATCCCTAAACCTGTTGAGTTTAGGAAGTCTCTGTGTCAGGGGCACAAGATTTGGAATTCAACCCGAAACCCTGAAACACTAACAATAAACCCTAATGGCCCTGATCCATTCAATCCCAATGCAACACCATGAACCCTACAATGCATGCTCGCTGGAGTCATAAAATCGTACTGGTCGGAGTGTTCATGGGAGTCCCAAAGAAAGATGGAACCCTTGCTGGGACCTTAGATCAACCACCTGAGACTCCCTTATGAGCTACATGCCTCCTTTTGCAACTGGCTTGCAACGTCACGCCAGGACAGCTGACAGCTACATGCCTCCTAAACCCTAAACCCTAAACCCATAATGCCAACATGGTTACTGAGCACCCCGTGGGTTCATACTATACTAGACAAGAAATTCACAAAAAAAAACAATGCGAGACAACACCGTAACCTCGAAATCCCGCACAACGCTAAAACCGTAGCACTGCAGCGTTCCCGCTATCCATCCCTACTGAAGCATGAACCCACAGATTTCTACAACTGATATTTAAAAACCAAACCCTTGTAGTTCTATGGCAATGGCAACAAAGCTAAATGCTAATAAACCCCTTTTTGCATCAGGACTTGTGCAATCGCCTTACCCCTAAAACCTAAACCCTCAGCGCTCCCTATAAGGCGGGGCTTCTCTAGCAGCTGCCGAGCTACCACCAGGCTGGGTGCTTTCCGCTCACCGCTCGCAAAGTAGACGCGTTGAATGACGGAGTGAAGGTGTACCTTAAAGTATAGGGGTCTTAATATTATGATTTAAGGTATATTCCTTAATTTAAGGGGTATTGGGTACCTTGCTGAGGGTTTTGTTGAGGACCTTTTTCTAGAGATGGTGAGGGCCTAGGGCCTAGGGTTTAGCTTTAGATTCAACTATCGACTTTTATGTGAGTCAGCTGCTTCGGGTGTTGTTGAGGGTTCGCTGGTTTTTAACTGCATGCATGCATGTGTGCGGTTTACCATACATACAATGGGTAGTGCCGGGACAGTAACTTATCAAACAGGTCGCTATGCGTTAAGACTTCTCAAAAGCACCAATTGAAATGAGCGTTTACGCCTCGCAGGGCAGCTTCTGAACGCATACTATTACTTTCCTCCCTCAGAATACCCTAAACATTAAACCCTACACCCCAAAACCAAAAATTGAAGCAAGATGTTCAACGACGGCCGAGGCACCGGCATCCGCACCTGAAGCGGCTGAGGGGCACAGGAGACCCTGAACCCTAGATTTAGGGTTTAGGGGGTTTAGGGTTTAGGGGGTTTAGGATTTTCGGACCTTGGGTTGCTTTTCAAAGAGGGTGAAAGCTTTAGGACTACAGACCACGAAATCGTCGCATCCCAAAGTCTTATTACAGATTCTCCTGCCTGCATGCGATTGGGATTTGAAAGGGATTCAGGTCGCGAGCCACAGATTCTAAGCCTCTAAGCGCTAATAGCTCTAAAACCGTAAGAAAACCCTAACCCCATCCGTCTTGAATCCTTAGCAAGCCCTGAGTTTGAGCAACAACGCCTCGTAGCCATCTTCGGCCGCTCCACCGGGAGAGCCCAACACCTCGCGACTCAGGCTTTGGGTGTAGGGTTTAGGGTTTAGGGGTTTAGGGTTAGGGGGCTTTGGGTCGTGTAGAAGCTTCTGATTTAGGCTTTACGGGTTCAGGGTTGAAAACTGTTTCGTCTAGAGCTTGTTAGAGTTTCAGAAAGGGCTACCGTGCATAGGTGCGCAGCATAACATATAATGCCAAAACCCAGGCCCCATGACAGCCCGCTCTCTAGAGCTTACAATTTGAGGTTACGGGGGTTAAGAGTTCAACTTACGGCTTACAACGGTTTTCCCCATGGGCTATGGCAACGGGTCTTGGGATCGAATGCTTGAGCCGAAAAAATACGAAAGATCTGTTTCAAACGGAGGAGCATAGGTTGGGCCGGGAGTGGGTGGAACGGCGGAACGCAGCTGATTGTTGTCTAGGAGAAGCGTTCTGCACTATAATCTGGAAGCTACAGAAGCCATTTCTTGCTCCCCTAGGTCCTCGGCTTGTGAAGAGCCACCGGCGATAGCCGAACCCAAGCCCTCGCCGTCCCGCCTCCGCCTGCCGCTGCCGGTACAGCTTCGCCAGGCTGGTCAGAACCTTCCCACAAGTGTCCTTCGAGGGTTTATGGTTTAGGGTTTATGGTTTAGGGGTTTAGGGTTTAGGTTGTGTGCCGAAGAAGAGTGCAGGTAGATTTGGCCTTTAAAGGGTGTCCTTCCTCATGATTGGGACACCATATCTACGACAACGCACCTGAAACAGCGATTGTCTTCATCGACACATACGAGTACTAACCTGCACCACCACTGCCACCTTCAAATTCCAAAAGACATCCACACCTTCGGGCTGCTCTCCGCAGATTTGAGAACTCCACCCCCCCCTCCCCCCCCCAAGCTCGGAGCGACCTTGGGAGGATCAAGCAGCTCTTGGCCCCAGGAAAGCAGCACCAAGCGATCCCTGGTGCAGGTCGACAGCACCTGCACTCAAAGGCGGCTTGGGGTTGCTTGTGGTAGACAGGGTGCCTTACAGGGGGTTTCGGTATCGGGTTGAAGGTGTCCAGGTTTAGATGCGGAGGTATCGACCTGCTCGCTGCTTCTTCGGGTAACAACGAGAATTAGCCTTAAGGATCTAGACCATCAATCATCAGCCCCCGAAACCCGAAACCCCAACGTTCAGGTCCTTTGCGGATCGCTGTGATGCTGAGCCTAACAAGGACGCTCAGCATCACCACTTGTGCTAGAGCCAACACGAGCTACAGTACTTGGTCGTCGTCTCTCTGTCTGTGGGAGTCCCCTGGCCCCTCACCAGCACCTAAAGAGACCGCACGTGGACTGCCCAAGCTCGCAAAGCACCTGTCCATCCAAGTATGCCGCCAAGCGTTCAGCTTGAGGAAAATGGCACTGCAGAAATGCTCGGGGCCGGGAGCGTCTCCGAGACTCCTGCTTGAGTTCACAGCTTGGGCTTTGGGCTTTTTGGTGCTAGTTTCGCCCGAAGGCTGCAGCCCTTCTCACCAGCGAGCTCACCGAACACAAAAACCCAGTATCCTATGTCACCCCTTCCTGGCTCCTGCTTGGCAACAAGGATCTGGCGGAGCAAGCTCTCGGAGTGATCTGCATCAGCCTCCTCCGTCTCCCCTTGTACCAGACTTCGCAAAAAATCCAACTCTTCGTCCGTCGTACCAAGTTGAATGCACAAGGGCTCATCCTCATCAGTGACATGAGGTGCATTCTCCTGCTGCGTCTCCTTGCCCGCTTTCTTCGCCTCACGCTTCTGCCTCCTTTTCTCCTCACCTGGGCAATGCGCAAACCCAAAAACCCTTACTTTGCTACTGGGCTCAAGTCTAGCCAGACTACAACCTTTAAATCATCATCTTGACCCTACACCCCAAAACCGTGGAGCTTGAGGGTCGCTGTGGCGACGGTTCAGGAGGTCTTACACAACTGCATTTCCTGAAGAGCTCAGCCAATCTTACAAACGCAACCCAGCTTCCAACCCCCGACCATCCCAAAACAAAAAACGAACACAGGCACCTATGCAACTGGACGAGTGCCTCCCAAGATGTTAGTTTAGGGCTTAGGGTAGGATTTGGGGTTAGGGCTTAGGGTATAGTTAACACAGTGTAACACTACAACTACCCTGTACCTGTTTGCAGGACTGCTCTTCTAAGGGGGCCATGAGCTTCTATAGGGTTTAGGGTTTAGGGTTTAGGGTTCTACGACCAATATAGGGGTTTTATAATGTTTAGAATAGGGTTTTGGAGTATATCATACTATAATTATAATAAGGAGCCCCTAAACTAGTATTGGTAATAAAAAAAGGCCGGTATACTAACTATTCCCACCCTTATGGTCTTGCGCTTGGGGGCCCTAAGTGATCCTTTAGGCGTTTTTCTGGGTGCCTTTCTGCTCGTTCATCCGGTCCAACTCCACAAACCAGGACTGGTCAATTCCGTCGTGAAATACCGGCCGATGGAAACCTTCGATTTCCCTTAAGTCAGGCATTACCCTGTTCAAGGTTTAAGGTTTAGGGTTGTAATTCTCAGAAGAATCCCTGCAACGCTTCCCGAGTAACCTCGGTCTTGCGCAGCTTTGATAAACAAGCCGCGTAGCAAACAAGGCAAACGGATACTATAGGGGGACGCAGGAACCATATTTGGAGGCTTGATGATTGCAAGGCTTCCCACGTGCCTTGGAGACCCTGGCACCTTCCTCCTCTGCAGCTGTGGCCGCCTCACTTTGGATGAACATCTCAGTCCACAGTTCGGCAATGCGCATTTGGGAAACCTGGCCAAAGATTACACCCAGCATGTTTTCGCCGCGGAGCTCGTCTTGTGACTTTTTATCGGGACCTCTGTGTGTGTGTGTGTGTGTCTGTGAGTGAGTATGTTTTCTATTCCGTTGTCTAGCTGGCTGCTCGTACATCCTACTCCAGCTATGGTATGGTGCGTGGTTGGCGTTCATCTCTTATCGTGAACACCAACGAAACATTCGGCGATGGCAGTGCATCCCGATATTTCTAAATATAGGGGCTCAAGTAATTACCAATACTATTTTGGGGGTTCCTTATTATATTTCTAATGGTCCCCAAACCCTATCTTAATGAGTAAGGCCCCTATATTAACCCGCGCTGAAGCCATGGTGGTCGATCCCATTTTCTAAACCGGCCCCTTGACTGGGAGGTGAATATAAAGAGCAGTATCACCAGCTATAATAGCAATAGTCAAGCGACGGATAGCATAGTATTGGTGATTATTTAGGTCCCTGTGGTATCTAAACCCGGCCCCGGCTTCCATTAGGCGATTGCAGTTCAATCCCATCCCCTCAGAAGGCGGTTGATGCCATTTCTTCACAATGCCCCCTCATGAGGTGATGGCTTGATCCTAGTCTTTCAAACCCGACCACCCGCTAGGCGATAGCTGATAGATTCCATTCATTTCACCTGCCCCTTCAGAGGCGATGCCCGTTGATGCGATTTCTTCAGCCCGCAGCCCCTCCCAGGGCTTGATCCCAATTCTTGCACCCGCCCCCTCATCAGGCGATGGCGGGTAATCATGCACGACCCCGTTCGTTCAACCCGCCCCCGGATCAAAGGATGGCTACCCGTGCTTAACATCAACTCGGGTGAAGGGTGCATCGGCTTGGGGATTTGGGGGTTTCCGAAAATAGGGACCCTAATATAGTCCCCTAAAATAGTAGGATCCCTATTATAAGGACCCCAAAATAAGGTACCCTACTTTTCTGAAACTCCCATATGTGATGTTTGGCAACTCCCGGCCTTGATCGTGAAGTGACAGGGCGGCTTAGGCAGCTTCTCGTCCATCTGGCCAGACAAGATCTCCACAACATCCCCTATTCGAATGTCCCTGTGGGACGTCACATATCCGAGTGCACCTTTGAATGAAGGCTCTGATTCGTTACACGTCTCTATATCGTCCCTGAACCGGATAACAAATTCCACCAGAAAGGAGCGCTTTGAGTCAGGGTCGACCATCAAGGCATCGTAGAAGTTGAGATGCCCAAAGCTGCGACGATGAAAAACACGGGCCCGCGGGGTCCACGAGCTGAGAGACCCGCCCAAAACTGCATCCACCTTTGCACGGAAGGCATCCAAGCCATCATCCGAGCAGCCATGGCTCATGCTTCGATTTTTTGTGCCTGAAATCCCTGAGAGCTAGGGAGGAAGACTGCTGCTGTCTTAGTTGGACTGAGTTTTCCAATTGGTTGTAGCTTCTGCTGTCTCATCTTGCGGGCAACTGCAGACTTAAGCGCTTTCGACTCTCGCTCTCGCACAGTGGACTCAGGGAACCAAACTTGGCATGAAATTCAGCCTTGCCTTCACGTGACCACGAACAAATCGGACTCCAGGTGCTCTTCAAGGGAAAGGAAAAAGGATGACAGTGCGTCGGAAGTAGTGGAGACTTACTATAGCGGTGTAGTACTCACCTTGGGACCATTGTATCTTGATTTCAACTGTTGAAGCCTATACACTCAACCGCTTCCATACCCCGGTGACCTGATGTCGGAGCAGCTGCGGACAATCCAGTGCCCACCACGGTTTAGGGTTTAGGGGTTTAGGGTTTCGGGTGTCGACTCTCACACTCGCACAAGGCCGGCAAGGCTCCGCATAGTTTAGGGTTTTGGGGTCTTGGGAATTTGCCTTTCCACTACTCTGGACGAAAAACCTGTAGCAAGCAAAGGGGCCCGTGAACGCCAGAAGCAGCCAAGTGGCTGCACGGTAGAGCGCCACCAAGACCATAAGCCAAGCCTTTCCCAACTTCTGAACATCACTTAAGCTGCAATGACAATGGTGCCTTGCCACTTCTTATTATCGGCTTCGTTGATCCAGAGGAGGCCATGAAAAGCCTCCACGGAAAGGCCCATGACGACTCAGGGCTGGGAATCAGCAACTAGGCTAACTAGAACGAACACTGCTTGGCTTCCTCGCAGTTTGGCTCTCTGCCATTGCTTGGTTGCCACATGTCAAGACGATCCCGAGAGACGAAGGCGCAGAGTATTTGCATCACGATAACTTGCCGCATCGAAGGGTTTGGCTGACAAGGCTTGTAGAAGCAACTCAACGAACAATGCACAGACAAGGCAACATTATGAATCTACCACGACCCTGTGCAAGTACGGCTATACGCCAACTCGTACAGTGCGAATTGCAGTGCCCTCCTTGCTTCAGGACATGCCAATGCATTCCTACTCGACCTGTATTTCAGGAGAATTTCATCGCTATCTCAGGTAGAACACAGGATACAATCGACGGTGTTTCAACAACTTGACAGCCCGGAGCGAAAGCCAGACAACTCTACCCGAACAAGAAAATGTAGGGGCCTTAATAATTAGACTAGGGTTTTGGGTTCCATTGTACTATAGTTATCACGAGGAATCCCCAAAATAGTATAGGTAGCTAGACGTCATGGGGCACCACGCATTGTTGACTGGATGGAACATACTGGTCGGAAGGAGCAACAGCATGCAACAGCAGAACGCTACCGCGACTGCTGTTCGCACCTACGCCAATAAAGACACTCACAAAAGTGGCCACATACATATGAAAAAACGAGAACGACAACAGCATTACCAATGATGGCGCATAGTTGTAATGGCCACCTAAGGACAATATCGTGACTAACGTGCTGGGAGAACCAGGACGACAACAGCAACAGCTACGACAACACATAATTAGTTGTAATGACAATCACATAAGGACAGTATCATGATTAACGTGCTGAGAGAACGAGGACGACAACAGTACTAGCAACGATGACAAGCATTGTGGTGATAATTACATCAGGAGAATATCGCAACTAACGTGCTGAGCATACTGGATAGTTAGCAGCAGGACAGATGCACGGACGAATTCAACAACAAGACTAGTGCAAGTGCACAACAAAACGAGCACGTGACAATAATAGTACTTAGTAGCAGAAAAAATTCTAAACCCTGAACCCAAAAGCAACTGATACCAGGGCCCGGGACCCAGCGAAGGAACCAGCCGGACTGTGCACCAGGGAACTTGGCCTTGTCGCGACTTCGGCCCTCATTTCCAGTAAATATCCCTAGGATGCCCAGTAACCTAGGATTGAAAAGGCCTCCCTTTTGGTATTGAACACCTTTATAAGGAACCTATGACTTCAACAAGGGAAAAAGGGCTCACTGGGAGACCCAGATCCCCATCAGGGGGCGACGATTATGCTGGAGGGCTTAGTAACTTAGGGTCTGTGAGGGCAGCCATGACCTAGGAAGGGGGCTGCCAGAGCTGCTTCTAAACTAGACCATGAGGGTAGTTCTCTAAACTAGGTTCCCTTTTAGGTACCCAATATAGTACGGCACCCTTATAAAAAGGACCCTAACAGGGACCCTAGTTTAGAAAACTACCCATGAACTGCATCACGTTGCCGTACAAAGAGCTACACTCCGAATCTCGAGCTCCAAAGCAACCTGCGATGTCGGTTTGGACCAACGCGGCCTGACCACCTCTAGAATTGGACACAGCCCAGAGAAAATTTTATCATGCGACTGAACCGGTTCACAAATAACAAGCCTTAACATATCCCAATCCAAAACGACGTTAAGTTGAGCTGACATGTTGCAGGCATGGCAGCGGCAAGAGCACAAAGCTCTTCAGAACGATACGACATGTGATGCTTAATCCGTTGAAACCCCATATGTGATGTTGTATGTAGTCCTACTGAAATCCCGTATCTGAGGCTTTGATCCCCCTAGTAATCCCGGTCTGATGATTTGTCCATCTGAAATGCCGTGCCTGATGTCTTACCCCACTGAAATGCATGATTCGGAGTGGCCTATTCCAGCCTCGTGTCGCAGACTTGGGAGAAAGCTTTACGCACGCTGAAACGTGTTCACTGAATCTGCTCGCCGGACCTGTGGCGGTGCAGCTACAGTATGCTACGTACAAGCTCACACTGGAGAGGTCTCAAGGAATCTGCAAACAAGCTGCCAGCAGCCTGTGCCACAGCCAATCGCGCACTTCCTGCTTCGCTGTCTTGTTTAGTTGGTGACGGGCTAGCGAGGCACATAAGAATGGCAGTACACGGATCGAAAATCTGTGCGCAAGTTATGAGGTTGGTAAGTATAGTTAGTCTACAATGCGAGGTGCAGCGACATCCTCAATCAAATTCCAAACCCCGCAGCCCAAATCACCCCCGTCTTCTACATATCTACAACGACGACGACTACTGCTACGACTACTGCTCCTTTTGGTGCTGCTGCTCTTGTGTTTGCTGAGCCTGCAAGCAACAGAGAACTCCAGACGAGAAGCTGCAAATGTTTGCACCGCAAGCGTGAAGGACAAGGAGAGAGAGGTAGCGGTGGACAGGCCGATCCAGATCCTGACGCGCATGTGATATCGAGTCTCACAGACGCTCATGCGGTGCTGTCAGAGAAGCGCGCATGAACCCAAACATCTAAAGTAGGGGACCCTAATATAGTACCCTAAATAGTCGGATCCCTATTATAAGTACCCCAAAATAAGGTACCCCTAACTTTCTGAAACTCCCATCTAGGAAAGGCCCTACTGCACTGCCCTAGCTCAGACGGTGGTAATTTGGGAGCTGAGCGGTTCGATTTCAGTCGACAACTCCAATCTGTGGTCATTGGGAAACACAAAACACCACGAGTCATGTTGTAGCATGTCCCAGTATGGTAGAGTATGCAGTATACGATAGAAACATTATCCGTTGAAGCTGTTCATGGCAGGATAGGAACATTGGCAGCAAGTCTCTCGTTTAGAAGTGGAAGCCTACAGCACGGTCGGCTGTCTCTATGGAGCACTGCCGCGATCTCACATGTCTTTGCTTGATTTGCAACGTCTTTCGTAACAGTGCGCAAAGACCAGATGTTGCAGAACTTCAACACAGCTCACCCACAGCAGCTAGCCGTCTCCCCGCAGCAGGACCCGATCTTCACCGGTGCATGCCGTCGAGACGTCGCTCTCTGCAAAAAAGGCATAAGTAGTAGTGGGGTGTTCGGAAGTCGTGGGAAAGCTTGAAGGGACAGGTTCTCCCATGAGCGAAGAGCTTGGACTGCGTCTAGGACAAAGCGTTCTGCACATGCGGCCAGGCGTCTTGTCAGCGAGAGAAGCACTCTCGAAGAAGACAAGGAAGATGCCTCCGAGAAATTTCTAGACTCCATGGCAAACCACATCTAAGCCCGTTCTTATCTTCCCCGTGCAATCAGTGAAGCAACGTTGACCCTAAACCCTGAAAATCCTTAAGCCTACGTTCGAACCAGCTAGGCCTCGTCTTCAGGAAGTACCGACCACTCCCGAGTCCCGGTGGGAGTGCCCGCACCAAACAAAAAACATGCATCCAAGCAATTGAGAGGAGTGTGGCAGTATCACTAGAAAGGGACCCTACTGCTGGAACCCTAAACACTACTAGAACAACAGCCGGAATGCTACAGGATCCTTGGAGCACTGGGTTTGGGCCGCCGAACTCAAGAAAGTGCCAGAAGAAAGTCTGGGTTCGCCCCTACATGGCTCACCCCTAAGCAGGCGCAGCTTGCAACAAGCTTCCCCGGGTGCAGGTGATGATGTATAGCCCCAGAGTTCGAAAACGTTTCCATCACCATCATGCAGCTGGGAACACACATACATACATACATACATACATACATACATACATACATACATACATACATACATACATACATATATATATATATATATATATGTACACACACATGTACATGTACGTGGACGTGTGCATATGCACACAGGCATACTGTCAATATCTACACCTATCGATCTACGTGTACACATATGTACATTTGCATATCAGCACTTGTTTCTTCCTGGCCCGTGCCAGCAGTCGCTCATTGAGCGAAGTCGAAGCGGACTGTTCAACAGCTGTGGCCAGCGGCCGCCCTCAAGGATTCTTGCAAAACAAGATAGGGCACTCTAATATAATACCAAAAATAGTATCCTTATTATAATCACCCCCCAAAATAATGTACACCAGGCAAAAAGGGTTTAGGGCAAGGATTCCTTTCACCGGAAGCCTAGAAGGCCTAAACTTTCACCAACATCCAGCCTACACCAGAGCTCTGCAGCCCTATCCCCCACAAGATTTCGAGAGTAGAGCTGGACATGATCCTAACAGGACGGCCCACAGCTGGCACACGCAGATCTAAAATTCAAAATTTATAAGATCCACCATCTACAAAACTCTCCAGAATATGCCCACATTCAACCAATGAGCTGGGTTTAAAAGGGCTCGCATGGCAGGAATGGGGGGTCGCAGATTTTCTGAGTTTCTGCAGATCAACCTACCTAGGCTTTGTGCTGAAGGTCTAAAGGGCTTAAACGCCTTAAACCGCCCAGCCACATGATGCCACATGCATCCTTTATCTTGAGTTTACAGAGCTTAGGTTAAAGGGGCAATCGTTCAACCCGCCCTAAACCCTATATAAACCCTACACCCTAAACCGCCGTGAGCACAACTAAGGAACTAAGCTTGCTCTGACGGAAGATGTGTCGTTACACGGTGAGAGAAGCTCTGTCAGCAATCGCGCCGAACAGCAGCAACAATAACACCCGGGGGACCTGTGGGTCATCAAGCAAAGTGATACTTTATCACTACACTGACAAGCACAGCTTGTCACAAACTACGTTATTTCTGCATGAAGCTGACCGTGGAACTCTCCAGCACAAGAACAGCGGTCTAAGAAATCGTGTGTATGTGTCCGAGTGATGACAAACCTGTAGCAATGCCAGTAGCGTTTGAACAAACGAGCTGACGACACTGACAAAAGCAACGGGGCGCAACAGTACTTGGAGGATCGTAGGACTTAGTAAGTAAGGTTATAAGTCCCTTAATTGGGGTTATAAGTATAGTTACCCTAATTATAGCCCTACTTACTAAGTCCCATGGTCCTTTAAGTAAGGCAATCAATGGCAACAGTGACAGCAGCTGCTCGCCCCTTCTCGCTGCACTATCAGTGAGGCTTCCCGTCAGTATTGAAAGGTAGAGACACCTGAACCCTGAAACCGTTTCTTGTTCTTCCTATAGCCCTTGTTCAAATGAGCATTACCGCCGCACTATTGAAGTGCTTGAAGAACCCGAGGTAATAAATATCATATTATATTGAAAGATAGCAAAAATAGGATCTTATATAGATCATCTCCGAGGCTTCTTTAGTGCGGTTATTTCCAAGCCACGCTTGCCCCGAAACCATCTCCTGGTCGTGGGAATGGTGCCTCAAAATCATCACAAGGACCTCCGGCTCCCAGTAAGGGCGAATAACACGATGAACATGGGGCTGTTTGCGCTCTCTCTCTCGCTCTCTATAGATGTATATATGCTGTGTTCTTGCAATATCTTCGTTTACATTATTGTTGTCATGATTATGACCGCGTTACTATTGATTTTTAGCATGGTTCCATTTGGGATCGGCCGGACGACACGTCCCTGCGAGCGCTTCTAAAAGAAGTGGAGACAACATCATCCACCTGCGTTTTCAACGCCGCACACCTCAAGGTGACACGGACGAACACTGCACATGCAGTCACATGCATAAGTATACAGTCTAAGCTGCTGTCAAAATTGTGTATTTAAAGCTGGCTAACAAGCCTCGGCCCAGCTCGATTACACAGAACGGGCACGGACAATGGGAACACGGTGAAATGCTGCTTCGTCGTTGCTACGGCCTCGCCCTTCCGTTCAACGGTTATTTTGTGTTTCGGGCAAGTGTTGGCGTCTGTTGAAAGCAGACAATGGCAGAAGTGTCGGCGAGTGGCTTGAGATCTGCAGCTGCGACTGGAGCAGATCTGAACAAGTCAGGCCCAAATGGGGTACCGCCTCCAATCAAACCCTTATAACGACAGAAACGCTCCAGCCGCAGAGGCTCGAGATGTGCTTTCAGCGTCCCAGGTACAGTCTTCAAGGGTTTCTCACCTGATGCATACCTGGAATCCTTCTGCTGTCCAGGATGCCGAAGCTAGATCACGACAGTGAGCCCACTCAAACGTCCTCTTCGAACGGCACCTCCGACAGCTCCACAGGATCACCTTTGCCACATGGGTGGTTGTCAAAATTATGGTCCCTTTTTGGGTCCTTATTATAATACGGCACCTATTATTTACGGTACCCCAAAAGGGACCATAATTTTGACAACTACCCACATGGTCTGTTTTCATTGCTGCTCTATGGAGCCTCAGCACGGCAGTGGCTTCTTTCGCAGTGGCAAGAGCTCAAGGGGGAGCAGTACCCTATTGGCAGACCATGGTACAAAGGCCATGGCATTGGAGGCATTTGAGCATAAGATATAAGTCGTTGGTAGCCGTCGTGATCGTCGTGAGGACACGAAAGACAAACACGCAGTATGAGGATCGTCGCTGTGGTCGTCGGCATCGTGGCATACATACAGACATGCATACATACATACATACGTACGTACGTACATACGTACGTACGTACATACATTAGTTGCACGCATGCCTGCATACAGAAGTCATACAGACATGCACACATAAAGCCTATCTCACTCTCTCTCCCTCTCTCTGACACACACACACACAGAGCGGCACCACTGTGGAAATGTCGACGTAGCAGGACAGAAGTGAAGACTGTAACCACTACATGCACACCTGCATCCCAGCGTCTTGGTTGTCAATGCTTGTTCGGTACGACTGGGGATGCGTAAAAAGTCGACAGCCTGACACCAACCTCCCATGTTTTCCGTGAGAGTGGACCATTACAAACACCTCCACCATTGTAACCAAACAGTACCATTGACTAAACAGACTAGGCGGCTTCTGGAATGAAATTTCCACGGATTTAAATACACCCTAACTTCCGTTAACTTCCGTCTTTAAAATTGGAGGCGGAATAAACTCATGCAGCACTCTCCAAATTTCTAATCTATGTATGAAAGGTCGGTATATGGTAGCCTTAGTATCCGAACTGGAAGATGAACGCAGAGTGGCTCGGAATTGACGGAATTGCGCCAGGGAGGAAAAATCCCGGTGGCGATGGCTTCGCTTCGGCGCTCTTCCGCCTGCCAACGAGTACAGCGAAGGCTTAGGGTTTAGGGTTTAGGGGATTGAAGAGTAAGACAACAATCGTCGTCGTCGTCGCTGTCGCAAAAGGATCGAATCGAAAGCTTATGAATAGCGGAAATCATGTTGTTCCGAAGAAGACATAACACCGCCCTCATGCTGCGAGACAATGTAGGAAGGAACGGGCGGCAAAGCAGAGGCTAAGAGGCCGGTGCTCACGACACGGGCCTGAATGATTGGAACAGACTTATGCGGTACATCATAGCTACAAGAGCAATCAGGGGGATCAGGGAATAATGCTGGTAGTCGCTGAGGCTTTCGTATTAGCCTGAATATGCGTGCGTTGTATGTCGACCTGCGAACGTGCCAGAATGGCAGGGATCGGAGGCACAAATTGAATCTTTGCCTTTAGAATCGCGGAGTGTGCTTTCGGCTATGTAACCCAGCATCGGGTAGCGACCAACCGCGCTAGAGGGCGGATGGGTGGATAAGAGTTGATAAGAGGTGGGTTAGGCCTTGGGCGGAGAGTGGAGGTAGCCGGGATCAGCAATCAAACTGGGCACCTGCGTCCTAAAGCACTCAATGAAGCTTTGCATGCAGTTGAAATCATGCTCGGACGCTTTGCTGACGGCCAAGCTAACAGCCAAGGTTGCACTTGAGCCTGGTCTTGGCCGCAAGTGACGTCATCCGCACACGCTTCCGAGCTTCTCGCAAGATGCCGCGGAAGACCTGAGCTCAAGATCCTAGATCGGGCCCATGAAGTCTCAAAGCCACAAGAACTCCAGAGCTTAAGGTTAAGAGTTTATATAAGAGGGCTTCCCATGCTGCTCTAACTTTCAGAAGTCGAGGCCCTGTGCTCTAAAAGCCTGCATGAATCTTGCAGCTCGCTAATTTGGAGCCCACGGCTCGGAGTCACAGCAAAACATTAGGTCGCACTGGGTCGGCCGGGGAAGAAGTCAAGTTTATCTGTTTTCGCCTTCAAGGTGCAACAACAGCTGGTTGCTAGTTTGTATACAATCAGCCACGTGCCCCAACTGCAAACCAAGATGCTGCAATGCGGACGCAGTACCTCGCGACACATTGCAAAAGTCTGGGGGTATACGCAGAATACCACCCCGACAAACTGGACAGTCGATCAGGCACGGGGGGGAACTGATAGGTAGCGGATCGAAGCATGCAGGCTAATATAGGGGCCTGTCTAGAAATTAGATGAGGGTTTTGGGGCCCATTATACTATAATCATAATCAAGCACCCCCCACATAATATGTACGAATTTATTCAGGCCCCTATAGTACTAGTGCGTTGGATCTATCGCCTTCCTGCTGCCCAAGAAGCCGTCGAACAATCGAGGCCAGCTCAGGGCAGGTACTCCTCCTAGCCTGCGTTTCGAAGTAACCAGGGAGAGAAAAGTATAGACTTAGGAACAGGTTCCAAAACAAAATATTAAAGTATGGTACTCCAAAGCCCAGTAGCTTCGACCACAGCCATGAAGTTCTCCCGGGTCAGAAAAAACACCTCAGCAGTCTGATAGTAAGGATATAGGGTTTAGGGTTTAGGGTTTAGGGTTTGGGGTTTCGGGTTTAGGGTTATAGTCAGGATCTAGGGTTTTGGGATTATCGTCAGATGAAGCAAAGGATATAGGTTTAGGGCTTCGGGTTTCAGCACTCACAACCGACAAGCCTGGCGAGGTTCCAAAAGTACGTCGAAAGCACATTGGCTAGGGCTGGTACGTTCACCGGCCCAAACTAGGGTTTAGGGTCTAGGATTATAGCCAGGATCTAGGGTTTTGGGATTATCGTTAAATGACACAATATGCTTGTATCGGGACTAGAGAAGGGGGTAGTTGCAAAGCTCAGCTCGCCTTGGCCTCTGCCGCAAGTGGAAACTGCCACCTCGAGCCCAGAGATCATCGCTACATCCTACTACTATAATAATAATATTACAACCATAAAACTACTAATGCTGTGATTGTTTTTGCAGTTATTGCAGCCCGGCATTCCGAAGTTCAGGGTCGAGGAAGCAAAAACGCCGAACCCTCATGTCCGAAACTCCGCCGGCGCAAGCGAATGTTAATACTTTCCCCTGACCCCCCAGGTACCTACTATATAGGGTACTAGAGCCCCTAGGGCCCTACATAGTAGGTGCCTGGGGGTTTAGGGTTCCAAGATTGAAACAGGTAGTCTGACGCCCCAGCAACTGGAACCCGCCGCTCGCTTCTCAAGAAATTTACAGGATCCTGTCTGGACGGAAAGAAGGTTTAGGGTTTAGGGGTTCAGGGGTTAAGACGGTCCCCCATTAAGCGTGATTTACGGGATATGTTGGGGTCAGCCCGTAGAACGCCCAAGCGGCTTCACAGTATGACATGGCCACGCAGTTCACCACATGGATTAAGGATTTGTCGGCCAGGACGAAATCTTCCCCCCAGACCTGGGCTTCGGGTTTAGGGTTTAGATTTTAGGGCTTTAGGGGTTTAGGCTTTAGGGGTTTAGGGTCTATAGGGGTTTAGGGTTCATGGGTTGCATGTAAACCCTTTTCAGCATGGATTGTGTGCCAGCGAACACACCTCAACAGCAGGGCCTTCTCGTTTAACGAGGGATGCAAACCCTAAACCCTAAACCCTCCTGATTCTGCCTTGGGCAATGCTGCCTAAACCCTAAACCCTAAACCCTCAAGAGAGAAATAAATAGAACTTGCTTGTTGCTGTTGGATACAACTTTTGCATTTTCTCAGAAACCAATTTCCGTCTCAAACCCATCAGCCCACAGCCCAGCCCCAGCCCAGCCCAGCCCAGCCCAGCCCACCCCCAGCCCCAGCCCCCAGCCCCCAGCCCCAACCCTTAGCCCCCAGCCCCCAGCCCCCAGCCCCCAACCCCCAGCCCCCAGCCCAGCCCAGAGCCCAGCCGAGCCGACCACCGGACAGGAACCAAAACATCAGTCGGCCAACCCCGTTCGTTCACGAAGGTGGACTTTGCCAAAAAGTTTCAAGGGCACCAGCGGCCCCACCTTTTGAAAGGATGGTCGATCTTATTTTGGAGGTCGGACAACCCTCCACCTTTCGCAAGGCAACCAAAAACATAAAAGCAAAAGAAGAAACTTTCCGGAGATCGGCCAACCTTTCGTTCATTTACAAAAGGTAGAAGGTTGGCCGACCCCCAAAACAATTTTGGCACCCAAACCCTAAACAATTTCTATAAACCCTAAACCCTAAACCCTTAAACCGTGTACCCTGGGCCAGATCTGGAGGGTTGCGCGATTGCCAAAGAGCCCACAACAAGCCATGCGTTGGCAGCCACGGTCGATCGGTTCAGCACTTAGTCTAGGGTTTAGGGCTATGTAAGGGCTTAGGTTTGACGGGTCGTTTGAAGGGTCTAAGGGGTTTAGGGAGTTTAAGACCTAAGGGCTTAGGACTTCGAGGGTTGAGGGATTCGGGGAAAAGGGGTTAGGGCTTCACGGCTACGGGTTTACTGTCGGATTTGCTTGCAGCTATCACGGAGAGTCGATCCATGGCTTCTTGACTCATGGCGTGAGCCTGGAATCGAGCCCGAACCCCTGAAAGGGACACGGTCCCCCTCCCCGAAAAGCAAGCAACCCCGAGAAAGAAGCAGGCGATGTCCACCGAGAAGCACAGCTACCTATCTACGTACCAGAAAAGGTGTCTGTCCCTATATGAGCTGAACATAAACCTACTGAAACTCAGACCCCTAAACCCCAAAACCCTAAATCCCTAAACTATGAAGTGTAATAACCTGCGATGTATCCAACTGGATAGAAAGCCCGAGCAGCAGTGCCCATCTTTCCAAATCCTGGGTTCTGAAATCGTTCAGGGTTTAGGTTTAGGGCTTAGGGTTTAGGAATATAGTATGGTATAGTTATGATAAGGAACCCAAAGGAACAACACTGGCAATCATTCAGGCTTCTATACTAAAGTGCGTTGATTCGGACAGGGTTCGTTTCAGGACACAACACCCGCCAAAATGTTACACACAAACACACACAAGGGCTCAAATAGCCCCTTTCACAAAACTCTTCAAAATACTAGACAGCGCGTCCCAAACCTGAAAATGCCTTTGATCCTCCATACAAACCTTGTGAAACCTCGGCGAAGCCGTATAAGATCTCAGAATCTGTTGTCCAGTGCGACAAGGCCTTTGGACAGGATGTGGAGTACCTCTGGAGGCTTCTTTATGTCCTACCTCGGAGGTTTAGGGTTTAGGGTTCTTTGTTTCCCACCCGCCCAGCTGACAAAGTTTAGGGGTTTAGGATTTAGGGTTTACACATGGAAATATCATGCAGTAGAAGCCCGAAAGTTGGAACATTGCTATCCTAAGGACCCCAAAGGCAAAGTATGGGGCGGGGGGCCTAGCACTAGCCATCCTAAACCAATCTTCCAACTTGCTGAGATTCAAGATAAGACTCCCCCAAAGAGAAGTTTGAAGATGCTTGAACGTTGGGTTACACACGGGAATGTCATAAAGAAGCCAACAAGAAACTGGAAGATGGTTGAAGCTTTGGTGACGGGAGAAAGAAGCGTTTTTTCAGGGGTTGGACTAAGGGCCCCTCGAAGCTGTGCGGTCACAGCTACTTCCGAACGATGTGCTCTACATCCAGCCCTGCCGCGCCTGGACATTGGTAAAGCAGTCTGCCTGCGCATAGGCCGTGCATTGAAGTCTCCGGGAGATGTCAGCGATGCAGGCTTCGAAGGTAGCAGTCTGCATACCTCTGGAGGCCATCCTTTCCGTCAAATTCATGAACTGTAGGAAGAAGGGCACCTTCCTCGGACGGTGGATCTTGTCGGCTGGCAAGGGCATGGATGAAGGGTGACGGCCATATATATATATATATATGTATCATTCTACTTATTCCTATTACTATCATTAGTATTAGTGTCATGAGAATGCGATTCTACTTATTCCTATTACTATCACTATAATGAGAATATGATTCTACTGATTCCTACTACTATCATTAGTATTGGCGTCATGAGTATTTTTGCTAAGTCTCCGGATCCAGGTCAACGTAAGCACTCTGCAGACTTCCGCCTGGAGTCTCGGGCTCATGTTGTCCAGGAGCCTCGGATTCAGGGTTTAGGGTTTGTAGGGTTAGGGTTTAGGGTTTAGGGTTTAGGGTTTAGGGGTTTAGGGTTTAGGGCGAACTCCGACAGCCCTGGTGTACTCAAGTCACCCTAACCTCCCAGGTACCTACTATATAGCGTACTAGAGCCCCTGGGGCCCTTTATCGTAGGTACCTGGAAACTTCGGGTCATACTACTCTACTACCGGGGTCTGAGCTGTGTGATCTCGCGCATGGACACGAAGAACCGGACCAGACCCACTGCTCAGAAGCAAGCTTTGTATGCATCCTGGGCACTGAAGTTGCTTCTGATACTGGATCTGGTGTCGGTTTTGCAAGAAGAAGCTGCGCAACCGACTGCGAAGCTCGTGGGGTAGTCCTGCAACAGTCAGGGGTGCGAGAAGATCAAGTCGCAAATGCTGCTGGCACGGGGAAAACTTAAACATGACAGAAGAACTCCTCTTCGATTACTGCGCCCTCAGTGGCTTTCAAGATGTTGCGGGTAAGAACGATCTAGGAAACCCTAAGCGCTAGTCTTGCAATTGAACTATTGTGTCTCGTGTCGGCTACAAACTCCTCCGGGTTTCAATGTGGAGCTCAGGTTACAGGGGCTTCCATGAAACTTACCATAAGGGCTACTTGGACTATAAGGAACCCGTAAGCTTTGAACGGGGGTTTGACAAGTGCTTCTGTAAGGAGTTTCAACATATTGAGAATTCCACAACTACTATAAATCCAAAATACAAGGATCTGCATAGTGTAAGGACCCCTGAATGAGGCATTCCTAATTTCAGACACGGGGCAGGACCTTAGATTGCACCCATTCCAGCCGTCAGCGAACAGTAACAAATCAGCAAAGCCGCCTTAAAACCTACTCATACTCAATCGAGCGAGACCTACAGAATTCCGAACAAATTGCTGCCTGGAGTACGTTGTGCACAGTAGCGAAGGTGAGATAAGTTGCTTCCGAAGTTACAAGACAGAAGGTCCTTGATCTCGCATCATGACGTTCAGCTGGTGCATCTTTTTCCGGAAGAGCTGACTGTCAGCATTCATGTCCGCCACGATGGCACAAACTTCGCCGAGAATGTAGGCCCAGCACAGCCCAGAGACCATCACCATCATCGTGCACACGAGACGCTCCAGGATGTTCTTCGGCCCGAAATCCCCATAGCCCACCGAAGTCATGGTGTAGCTACAAAAATAGAAGGAAGCAACGTAAATTCGCCATGCGGATTCACGGGTTCGGATGCCAAACTCACCATCCACGGCCTCCACATCGTCGATCCACTGGGGATAGTCGCGGTCAACCAGCTGCAGCGTCAATGCCCACACACAGGCTAGCCAGTGACACATCAATACAAGCACGGAGAGAAATCTCAGTAAAGCGAACTGCTGGTACGGCAAGGAGAACGGGATCCTGACGGCTTCTTCCCCACCCCCTGATCAGGACTTTCTACCTAAAGACCCCATAGCTGGGCATCGCTGCCCTCACCCTGCCTTCCCCCTTTACTTAAATGGACACCAGGTTGCTCCAAACGATGCAGGAGGTTCGAGGACTTCAGCAGCCGGACGAGTTTCACCAGTCTCGGGGGCTCCAGGGCTTAGTCTCTTGCTTTCGGACTATGGAGGGAAGCCGCGGGCCGAGGAAGAAGGGGCCCGAGGTTTCCTCCCTTCTGCATAGCTCTAGCTGAGGTTTTGGAACCCAAGGAGGGAAGGCAGCCTCCATGAACTCCCGAATGCCAGATTGCAATACCTAATTACAATCGGGGCTTGGGGTTATTGCAGTTATAGTATTCTACTAAGGATTCCTGAGTCCCCAAGGAGTCCGAGCCAGTGTACGCTCATCTAGATTCGTGTGCAAGGGAATGGACGTGTGTCCCATCATCGGGCCTCTTGCTATGATTGAATATATATTATGTATATATTCCTCAAGCACGGGTATCTAGCTCGCTCGAGGCACTCAGCGATCCCCTTTGCCTGCTCCATGTTTTCGCAAAACTACGGTATCGGTATCGCTCATTCAAAAGTAAGGGATCCTATTTGAGACGCCGCAGTAGAATCCTTACTATACACCTCGAACGCCCCCATCCTAGATCCTTCTTTCTCTTCAGAACTCTCCCCCCGCACGCACACAAACGACCCGTCATCTTCTGAAAGCCTCGAAGGGAAGTCTGGAGCCCTGCATACTGAAGGAACCCTGAGGCCGAAACCTTGGGCCCTGAATCAGGGTTGAGGGTTGATGGATAAAGACGTCCTGAACTGTTTACTGTGCATGCGGTGCATGCGGTTTATAGAGTTTTAAATGAGTTTAGAGGTTCTGGTGTTGGAGTGCAGGGTTCAGTTTTTAGAACTTATAGGATCTTGGCCCGTCCAGCCTCAGCGTTCGAATCACCTTGACCATCTTCAGGTCTTTCAATGCTTCCGCATTCGTGAGCAGGCCTTTCAGACAGCTGTATGACCAGCTTTCATGGAGCCCCACAGTCACAACCGCTGGAACACAAAGGACAGCTGATGTTCAACGAAGCATTTGTGTTGGACACTTTCTCCGTACCGTGCGGCAGAAGTTTGCCCAACGGCTGTCATGGCTCCCAATCGAGAGACCAACAGCTGGGCAGGTAAGCAACAAGTAGTTGGCACATCGAACAGCACCACAACTATGCCTTGAGTAGAAGATGGTGTTGTTACGTAGAGAGGCATGGGAGACCGTATCTCACGCTTTTGAAACCAAGGTCGGCCGCAACTACGACTCAAGCCAGGATTTCTGATAACCCTGCTCCGAAATTCTCCGACACCTTCTGTCTCGCGGCTCAAACCGGTCAAAGCTGCAATGAAGGGGCAACACAAAGCACTGGAATCCCCAATCTTGGCCCGAGCCTAGGAGATCGAAAGGAATGACGGTCAACAAGTCGAAGAGGAACCACGAGTGCAAATAATGCTTCGCAATCATATCCAGCCTCACCTGCCCACTTTTAGTTTAGGGTTTAGGGTTTAGGGGTTTAGGGTTTAGGGTTGGGTTCTGAGAGTCTAGGGCTCTCGGCAAACTCTCGCAGCGAAGGCAGAAATTTCTCGTGCGCAGAAAACAGCGACCCCGTCTGCAGCTGTATGTATGCCACTTTACGTTCTGTTTATGTATGCATGACTGTAAATATATATGTACGTTTGCATGTGTGTATATATATATATATATATCTGTATATATGCGCAAGCATGCATTCATACGCATACAAGTACACAACATATACATGTAGCGTTGATCAATATTCCTGTTTCTGGAAATGGTTTTTCGCGGATTATGGTTTTCCTTTCGCGGGACTTTCGCCCTCGCTTTCTCGCGACATGTTTGAAGTAGAGGTGGTGGTAGTAGTAGTAGTAGTAGTAGTAGTAGGTGTAGTAGGAGTAGTAGGAGTAGTAGTAGTAGTAGTAGTAGTAGTAGGAGTAGTAGTAGTAGTAGTAGTAGTAGTAGTAGTAGTAGTAGTAGAAAATGATACCTTCTCATGTTGATGCTGCGGGTATGTCGGAAAGACCAATCCTTGAAGCGCAGGCTCTGAAAGAAAGGCACGACCATGCCAAACTCCCCCACCTCCCAAAGTTTGTGGACTGGCAGCGGGGCGATCTGGCTGTGGGTATACTGCATTACAGCATGGCGGACAAAGAGTTTGCGACCTGTATATGCCTACGAACTGGTACAGCGTATACCTTACAAGTCCTATACGGCCAAACCTATTATACGACAACTTTCGCGGATTATTGCCTTCCTTTCGCGGACCCATCGCGGATCTTTCGCGGACGCACCCCCGTCTTGTTCCGCATGGTTCATGTAGATGTTATTGGTATGCCGAACTACATGCTTCGCAAAAAGCAATCGAAAAAGCAAAATCGTGTAGCTCAACACAGCGAAACTTGATCCACGTTTGAAGTGAATAGACCAAAACTGTACCACAAACCAACCAGCAACGCAAAGCAAACTACCACACACAAAAAACAAAGCAAAAATAATGCAAAAACCTATGTTGAACACCGGCCTATATTATTGTGTTCGCTCCTGCATTGCTGAACGAGTCGCTAGGCAGGATATGCGATATACTTGGTTATGTCGGTTCTTGTTTTTGTAGAAGGGATCGAAAGCTCTCCAAATCACCCCCGAGCTTGGGCCGCGCTTAATGCCAGACCAACTTTCGCCACTGCCACTTTGACAGCGTGCATGGATCGGCTCTTATAATTCGCGCCACGTGACCATGTCTGACCAGTCAAAGGCTCCAAGGACTCACGGCTCCACTCAGAGCCCACAGTCACAGTGGGCCGACGTTTAGGTTACTGTGCAAAGCCGTCAGCCTGACTGGAGCACGTCGTGACAAAACCAGCTGTGTTTTTGGCTTCTTCTCTCGTGCGACTCACGAGAAAGGTGCAGCTTGTACTCAAACTTGTTATTCACTGCAATGTCCAACGCTGAACACACAAGTAGCTTCTGTTAAGCTGCTAAGTCCATACGAAAATAGTTGCTGATCGTTTCCAGCTGTCCTATGTACATGTGTGCATGTATCTATGGACACACGCACACACACTCTAGTAACTGGCCGTAATCATCAACATGTGTATCCATCAATCCGTAGGTGTGTCCGTATGTATATTGACTGTTCTGACCGCTGTTTCCACACATGCACATACGTGCAACACTGCCGATATTTTCCGAAGATGGATAGGCAGGTACACAGAGATACACATCTCTATATTCTATGTGTATATATATATATATCCGCGATGTGCGGACATGGAGTTCCAAAGTGTTCAAAATCAATACATGGTGATATGCACTAGTATGTATTACGTATGCTTGTAAATAACAGTGAATAGGTTCGAGATCTAAACGTTGAGTTTCTCGTTGATGTGCGTATACACCGACGGATTCCACCAGTTTGGGCATGTATAGGAAGTATACCGCACAGAAACAACAGGTTGCACAAGTGTTATCAACATTTCCTCATGTGCAAGCATGTACTGCAATTATCTCGGTGACATGATGGGTGTTCATTGATTCGTGTATAGGCCACAAGCGTACAGTCGTTTGGAACGCTCTTCAATGCATGAACATAGTCACGCTAATAGTCCTATCTCGCTTTTGTCACTGTTGCGGTTGCTCGTGTATTACAGACACATGACAGATAAGCCTGTATCCTCAGTGTTTCTACAGTTAACCCCATCAGGCAAGCAATAATTGAGCGATACAAAAGAACAAAACCAAGACACGCTACGCCCCGGATCAAGAACCAGTAAAACTTGTAGTGGAGTCTGTATGCTGTTCCTGGCGGAAACAAACAAGACACACACACACACAAGCACCCACGACTAGTACTGACGGCATGTGCGACATGCAGGCTGCAGGAAAACATAGGCTTTCTCATGACGTTCTGGAATGTTCACCAGGGCACCAAAATGAATCGAGGTCCATCCATGCTATTTCGGCAAGGATCAGGAAGTATCTCAAGACTAACCGGAGCCTTCCGTAGGACCTGTTTGTCTACATACATACAAAAGTATGTGTATATATATATAGATGCATGTATGCACGCATCGCCGCCTTTACCTTGTCTCATTCTTTGCCCAAACCTAAACCATCCCTGATCTCCTAATCCATTATGGCTTGGGCAATAACAAGGTACTTTTGATAGAACGTTGCGCTATGCGGCGTTATGAATGCGATTCTTCACCATGTTGTACTGCGCACAGGCACCCGCTGACACACACACACACACAACACACACACACAACACACACACACACACACACACACACACTCGCACACACATGAACAAACAAGCTACACCACCAACTCCGGGTCAAAAGGGGGGCAAAGGGTTAGCGTACACATGTATATATATATATGTGTGTGTGTGTATATATATATATAGTCATACATACACATACAAATCTGTAGTCATGTACATTAACATTTACATACACACACACATATATATATATATACGTACATTACATTAGATTACACTGCACTACACTAGACTACATTACACACATGTTGCCTACATACATAGACACGTGGAATACATGCATCTGCATACACTGTGTGCGCAGATGTTTCTTTATGCTTTGTACGGCTGTATACCCGTTCGGGGATGAAGGACGCGAACTTGAGATCCCCCACCTCCCAAACAACACCACTGGGAGTCGTCCGAGCGTATGTTGTGAAGAACTGCAGAACCATGTCCAGCAAGAACACGAAATCCGTACCTCAACGGGGTGACCGCTCATCGTGCTTTGTTTCACGTTTTCATGTAGGGCTCCTGGTCTCAGGATGGGGGTTTCTTCCTTTGCGGCACGAGCTCTTCATATCTCTTAAGGCCGACTGCAAGCAGAAGGGTTTAGGGTTTAGGGTTTAGGGTTTAGGGGGGGGAAGGAAGCTTAAGATCAAGATGCACATGCTCATCACGAACAAGGTGTCGAAGGAGATGTCGAGCAAACAAACCTGCACCGTTCGATCCCCTGATTGGACGGTTTTCAATGAAAGACCGATGGCTCGGCCCTTATTGAGCCTTACACTCGTCCGCAAGCAGGGAAGAAGTAATGCTCTTCGCTGGGCTGGTCTCAGCCGACTCCTTCTTAAGCATCCACAGCGACATCATGCTTTACCTCCATGCCCAGTTTATCCTAGTATCAGAGCGAAGTAGCTGGACCTCGTAAATCACTACGCGCCGAACTTCTTTGTACAGCTTCTGTGCTGCAGACATCGCAGAAGGAACTGCTTTCTTCCGGACGCTAAGCGACGGGAGGTGGAATTTTAGGGAGCTGCGGAAGATGAGGGACCCCAGTGACAGGGTTAAAGTCCCGCTAAAGGATGTTAAGGCTGCAGGAATATGTGTTTTGCGGTTTTGGTGTTCCGGGTTTAGGGCTAGGGCTTTCAAGGCTTTAGGTTTAGGGCTGTGGGACCTGGAGCGGCGTGACCAATGCAGTATAGGCCATGGCAGCAGCGGAAATAACTTGCCAGATCGTCGCCAGGCCATTGCTGTCAGGGTTCATGACATACCACCTTAGTGTAAAGGGTGGTTAAGGACTACTGTTGACGATAGAAATCCTGCATTACCTTAAGGACTCTAAACTACAGGAATTATGGTATATTCCTCATTACGGGTAATGCAGATTTATGTCATCAACCGTGGAACTTGGGGTTTTAACCCAATTGCTAAGCCCCCTCTGGCTGGATAAGGAGAACCTTGTCATCCTGGTATGGAGACATTAACCATGCAAGGGTCAAGGTTACCCAGTCTACACCCAAGGCCAGCTTGCAGCTGGATAGCCCGACAACATCGCGCCACAAGGCTGGTTGAGGAATTTGGGCGTAGGCTTTTAGGAATTGGGAGTTTCCGAAAATAGGGGACCCTAATATAGTACCCTAAGATAGTAGGACCCTTATTATAAGGACCCCCAAAATAAGGTACCCCTATTTTCGGAAACTCCCATTTTAAGTTTTAGGGTGACTTTGTTTCAGTATAGTCGGCCTTGGGTCGTCGAGATCGTTGCAACCACCCTCACCCGCGCTGCAGAACTTGGAGCAAGGGTTTAGGGTTAAGGGTTTAGGGAACAGCCCCCAGACTCGACCGGCTTCTTGCAGCCGGGTGGCGGCTTCAAAGCCACAAAGTGTTTTGTCCTTCGTGGGGGATCGAAAGGTGACTAAAGGAAAAAGCAAAGATGAGACACTGCTCGAAGCACGAGGCAAGCTCTGCAGCCACGGTTTCTGATACAGCAGCGGGAACTACACGTTCTTAGTGGCAAGAATCAACTGATTCTAGGCTCATCTCCCCCCACATTCTACTCAAAGGTGTACTCTCGGAGGTCTCGTCTCGGTCCCTGATGCTCTGATGCATCAGGAGTTCGGGCCTCTTTTAGCGCAAAGACCGCTAAAACGACTAATCGTGAAGCACTACGGACTAACATTCATGTGGAAGCATTTGATCCTAAGGCACATGCTAAGCCCCGAATCCAGGAAAGGCGCCTTTGGCCGTGAACGAAGTTGTATTGGTCACGGTCGCGACGAATGATTCCAGGCAGTTGGAAAGATAGGGACTGATCTTCAGACTCCTGCAGGATCAAGAGAGTTTCATTGTTGGGAGCTTTTGGCGTAGATGCCTAGAGCAAGAGGGTGCAACAACAACGACAACAACGAAAACAAAAACAACTACAACTAGAGCAACAACAACAACAACAACAAGTGCTACTACTACCACTACTACATCCACGACTATTGCTGCGACTACGACTACGACGACGACAATACTACGACTAAGAAGACGACGACGACCACGACGACGACGACGACGACGACGACTACTGCTACTGCTACTGCTACTACTACTACTACTACTACTACTACTACTACTACTAGTTGTTGCATCCTTGCAAATGGTGACGCTCGGGAAGGTTACGTGCATCATGGGAAACACAACAACAACGACAACAACAACAACAAAACCAAAATAAACCAACAACAACAACACCACCACTGCCGCCGCCGCCACCAGCACCAGCACCAG